GGAAATCACTTTTACGCCATGTCACGGTTATTTCAATTGACCTTTTGCGATCAGAATTCAGGAATTTTGTTTATGGATACTGTTGTCACGTATTTCGTCTTATTGGTATGACGTCATATAGAAATGATATTAGACATGATGGAATCACGAAATGACGGACACGTGGCAGTTTTGAGCTAAAAATATTGTCGTTTCTTATATGAAAACCATGGGTCAGATATTTAACAGGTATGCCAATTTGACTAGATCATGAGTATATCTATATATGTGCGAAGTTTGGGTGAAATTCATACTAAACATCGATGCCTTTAAGCGCCCCCCGTTTTTGTCAAAATCGGGGGGGCGCTTAACTGCTATCTAAATCATGTCAGTAAGACCTTAGACTTGGTATGTGCTTAGAATGAATGTTGATCTAGTCAACACCCTGGGTATAGTCTGTCACGTGACTTCATGGATGACGTGTGCGCGAGTGATTCGCATTTTCTTTCGCTTGAGGTTTGTAATCACACTTTTTACATGTTTTAAGATTTTGTATCTCTGTGAAACTTGTCCCGTACCATCAATGTCTGAAGACGATCTAATTCACCAAATATCTCATCCAAGCGTGTCCCGGTTAAAGAGAAATTCGCACTTTTGTGTCTCGCAAAATGACGTGTGCGCGAGTAAATCGAATTTTACGAAGGATGGGTGCGCGAGTCTAAAATATTTTTATTCACTTGAGACAATTCTGCAAGCTAAGGCAGAATACAACTCACGTGACATTTGTTTTTGTCATCTTAAAATAGCTTGTAGGGCTGTCCGGCATTGCAGGTGAATTAAAATTTGAACCAAAAATTGAATCTAAAAGATTCAGCTGCTGGGGCAGATGACTTAAAACCTAATATTATTAAACAATGCAGCAATAATTTTCTAAGACCTGCTCTAAGGTGGGTCTCTAGTTATTTAAAGATGTCATTTTAAAAGCAAAAAAGGCTCCAAAACGTAATGAAATATGTAGTTTGGATGTTCATTTATGTCTGTGGATTATATTTTATACCACAAACACTTATAAATACCTGAAATTTGCAATAAAAGTGCCCAAAAATTGTTGTTTCGAAATTCCCCATTTTTCCTGTATCGCGCTAGTCACGTGACCCTTACGCGTAGCAGGCAATGCCTAGTATTACAGATATTACAGTACATATTTCAACATGTTCAATATGGCAAACATCAGCGATTCTGACTCCCGGGTTCTGGGAAATGGCTATATATAAATCGGCGAGAGGGTGTTATTTAAGGAGGGGAAATATGTCCAAGTATGCCAGTAAAAGAGCAGATATGGACTTTAGACAAGTACTATGACGGAGAATCAACTAAAAAAAGTGCGTTCTGGAATGAGACCCGTTGCCATTGACTGAGAATCCCAGCGATCCTATAATCCTACTCAGTTTGAATTTAGACGCGGAAAACAGGTTATGAAAACGGGCTCTCTGCAAAGTTATCAAATTTAGAAAATATGGATCTTGTTTTTAAGTGGCTTAACAAGCATTCGGATACAAGACTTGGCGCTATCTCTTGTCAAATACACGCAGACTTGCAGTAAATTGGCCATTGCAAATTGCAAAATCAGATCGTCAAATTAATCGCTTCGTTTTTAAACGTATGCTTCATATCTTCATCCAAAACTTTAGGATTCGATAGAGATAAGTTAAAACTTGTACAGGAAGAAATGGGAGATCCTACCTTAATTTAGAATCGCTGATTTCTCTGGACAAATTCCGAGAAGAAATTGTTCAACATCGCGATCAGCTCAGACTAAACTTACATGTCGTGCATGTCACTCTGAACTCACGTGTTAAAATACGGCATTTTGATTGGTTACTACTCGTGTTGTCATGACGCGAAAAACAATAGTAAACACTGAATATGTTAATGAACTGTCATATATGGAGCAATTGTCTTTTTGATTGGTTAACATTACACGCCTCCTAAATGAATATAGGAGTCGTAGTAAATGATTCATTGATAACTCTGAAAGTGGGCGTGACCAGCTTTATTTTGACACCAAAGCCAGGGTTCCAACTCGATATTCTTTAATCTCCACGCATGCGTCATTTGCTATTCGTGTCTGTATAATTTGTACGACTGCATGGAGAATGACCCGATACTCTCCAACAAAGCTATCGCTAGGTGATTGTTTTGCAGAATATCGGTGTTGCATTCTGGGAGCCAATCCTCCTTGCACCAAATCCAAGATGTTTCAAATAAAAATGGCCTCGCAAGACGAGGTTGAAATATCGGCAGTTTGATACTGATATGGTCTACGATAGATCAAAATTGACTGCCCCGCGTCATATGTCACGTGAGCCTATATTTGTTGAAAAATGAAAGAGATAGTGACACTTTTTAATCTTAAATTAATACCAATATTACAAACACATATCTATTTTTTTCATTAATATTTATTTTTTCATTATACATACATTTGTTTTACACTGCATTGATTTATTTTTGCAAAACCTTTGCTATTAGATCTTTAACAAATCGCAACCAGTGTACTAAATATAATGATAAAATTTCATCTTTCAAAACTATCAAATGTGGTGTTCCACAGGGATCTGTCTTAGGGCCCTTATTTTTTATACTCTATATCAATGACCTCTCCAGCACTTCTCTTTGTTCTGTTTGATGATGATACAAATATTTTAATCAGTGGGAAAAACCTTAATGAAATTAAAGATACTTTGAATACTGAATTAAATAGTATCAGAGATTGGCTTATAGCCAATAAACTGTCACTCAATATTAATAAAACTAAGTACATATTATTTACTTCAAAGCAGAAAAAGGTAAATACCAGGAACTTAGAGATATTTATTGATGGTAAAATTATTGAACGAGTAACACACACTAATTTTCTTGGTTTGGTTATTGACCAACATCTTTCATGGAATGAACATAGTAAAGTCAAAATGAAAATATCAAGGATAGTTGGCATTCTGTACAAGATTAACCATTTACTAGATAGGAAAACCTTTATGACTATATATCATTCTCTAATCCATTCTTATTTAACTTACAGCAATATCATTTGGGGAAATGCTAATATCACTTCAATTAATTCGCTTCACTTAATACAAAAGAAATTTGCAAGATTAGCTACTCAGAGTGGATTTAGAGATCACACTCCACCATTATTTAAAGAATTAGGAATTCTCACCATTTCTGATATATTTAAAGTCAATGTGGCAGAATTCTTCTTTAAGTGGCAAAACAATGAAAATAACCTACATGATATATTTCCCAACTTATTTACAAGACATAATGAACTACATAAGTATGATACAAGAGGTAAATATAACTATGCCTTGCCTAAATTTAAAACAGAAACCTTTGGCAGAAAGATGCTTTCATTTTCTGGACCATCTATTTGGAATAGCCTCCCATCAGAAATAAAAACATCAAGGTCAAGTAAATGTCTTAAGTCTAAATATAAGAAACATATTCTGGCGTTGTATGCATGATCTTCTTCTTTTTATATTTATGTACTGCAGCCTCCTTATTCATGCTCTATCTCCTTTATAGAAATATACAGATATAACTCCAAGCATGGGTACTGGACACTAAACTTGATAGCTTTTTATCTATGATGCACCTCCCCCTCCCTCTTCGATTTTCCCTTAGACAAAACACAACCTTGATATGTTTGATTCCTTGACCTTACTTTTACTCTTAATATCTGTAATATTATGCTTTTACATGTACGGGTATAAACATCAGAAATGATGTCACCTGTTAATTCTTTTATATGTACCATGTATTATTGTATTATTAAGGAATAAATTGAATTGAATTGAATTGAATTGAATTGTGTCTAGTTTGCAGAATTGTTTAAAATGAATATAAATATGTTAGACTCGCGCACCCATCCTTCGTAAAATTCGATTTACTCGCGCACACGTCATTTTGCGAGACACAAAAGTGCGAATTTCTCTTTAACCGGGACACGCTTGGATGAGATATTTGGTGAATTAGATCGTCTTCAGACATTGATGGTACGGGACAAGTTTCACAGAGATACAAAATCTTAAAACATGTAAAAAGTGTGATTACAAACCTCAAGCGAAAGAAAATGCGAATCACTCGCGCACACGTCATCCATGAAGTCACGTGACAGACTATACCCAGGGTGGTCAAGTCGAACGCTTTCGTGAAAAATAAATCAATAAAGCACGAAATATAGAAGATAATCTCTCAAAATCAAGCATCTAAAGCCGGGTGACCTAATTGTGACGTCACTAAAAGATAGAATCCATTCGGTGATCGCAAATCATCAATTGGACAGGTTTCTTGATTAAGTCAAACTTTGTTTAATGTAAATAAAGATCATCATTTTTTAAAAATCAAATTCAAATTCAATTGTCTACTTAACTTAATGAAGGTATCAAAATGATGTCAATTTATATTTCAACTCCCAAAATAGTTTTTTTTTCTTTACAAATTTAATATGCAATTAAGACTTCCTTGAAACTTAAAGATGCTTTAACTCATAATCCAATGGGTTAGTTGGGATTGCCAAACTTTTGGAGGGAGTATAAATTGTACAAATTACACAAAATTGTTTCTATTTGAGGAACCCTAATGAATGGGGGGAGGGGAGATTTGTGAATAACATAAAAATAGAACCCCTGGTCACCAAATCCTGGCTACGCCACCTTTATTTGTGTCTAGGCTCAATGAATATAGTAATACTCATTGTGCCTACTACCAATATAGGGGCTGGATCTGGCTCCGGATCTATGATGCGTTATAGCATTTTTTCAAAAGGCCCCTGGGAACATATATAAAAAAAGAGTGGAGTTCCCAAGGCACTCAAGTTTTTATCCTACCCCGGGTCTCTTGCCTACCTCCAGTGAGGCATGATAGCACTAAACGAACTACACTGTCTAAAATATTGAAAATAGGGACCAATCAAATGCTAGTTAACAAATTTGAACCAATCAAATCTTATCTTTCAAAAGTGAGGTTGCAACATCCTATTTTCCACTCGCGTCAGAAATGGATTAATTTACTCATTTGAATTACGAATACTGCTATAAGAGAAAACTGAACATTGTTTCGAACCACAATTTATTGAGGTAAAGGTATGTCTCATTGAGTAAATCTCTTATCTATTTGAATAGACAGCTGTTGTCTAGTATTTTCTCGATTGGAAATTTTGGATAAAAATCGGACACACCACCCGCCATCTTGTCAAGTTTACCCCTGGAATTTTTGGGGTTGGGTGCATAGGCCAAGGGTAAAGTAATAGTAAGCCGTATATAGAAGAGACAGGTGAACAACTCTGACTTGGACTACTTGTTAAGTTGGAGATTTCAACAATATTTAGTGTATTATTTTCAAAAAGCCATGGGGAGTTGATAGAAAATTGATAGTTTGTAGCTCTTACCTAAGATTGAAACTCAGTCAGGTGATATAGAGTGAATAATGCTGTCTAAAAGAGAGAATTTCTGAAAACCTGCAATTGCCTGGCAAGTTCATTAGTAAACAAGTGATCTGATTGGTCACTGCTGACCTCCCTGACCTCCAACAGTGACAATCAGTTTCAGCTTGCCAGGCAATTGCAGATATCCATAGTTGTTGTTTTATATGCAGTATTATATGCAGTTTTTAGATAAAGATTTGAAAAAAACAATGATATAAGTTTGAAAAACACTTTGAAGAAGATTTTGGAGAGATTTGGGAATACAATTTGATACCAGTAAGGAGAACTAGTGCCAAGACTAAAAAAATTTGAAAAATTTTCAATCTTACTTGTGGACCTGTCTCTTCTATATACAGCTTACTACTACTTTTCCCTTGGCCTATGGTTGGGTGAATTGTTTCTTACTCATTATAAAGTGATCTCTGATCAATTAGTCTTGTCAATCTTGTTTCAGTTGATGTCTCATAGAGTCTTATCTCCACCAAATTCTTATTCTACCAGTCCACCCCAACCCCCATAAATGTGTGCTTGATTTTTCAAATCACCCACTGCAACTTTTACCTGTGTATTGAAATCGTGGGGTTGAAAAACTTTGTCAGTAGTTGACTCAAATATGAATTTTATTTAAATAACCACTTATCCATCTTAATTGCAACCCAAAGATTTCAAGGCACAAGTAGTTATGGCATGGGCTTTCAACTAGAAATTGAAAGCCCATAGTTATGGGTTTGATTTTGAAAAATCATCCTCACATAATGGGGGTACTGCAATCCACCCCAGATCCACCCGAGGCCCCATTATCCCAATAAATGTGTCCAAGGTGATGTTTCAAGAAATTTTTTTGAAAAAATTGCTATTTATTTACATGCTCATGTTATTTTCTGTTACAGAATAAAAGTATGAAGGCATGTGTGTTACTGAACACACCTGGCTAGAGCGACTAAAGCTAGAGTCAATACATCTAAATCCAAACAGGGGGGTAAACCAGAACGGGTTGCAAACAATGGCAATCAAATCATTGAATTGAATAATAGTACCTCTACTACTCTATATAATATTAATATCCTGAAAGATACCATATAATGATATATACCAACACTCTAACGATAAAATAATCAATTATGATGATTTAGGTATTTGGAATTACCACCATGATAGTGTTTGGCATTACCCCCACAAACCCCATGCCTTTAAATAAATAGATGTCACTTATAATCAATTATATTTGGGGTTATTGATATGCAGGGGTGTCAGGATCCAGTATCATTAGTTCAGGGTGCCATATAATGATATACCATCAATCTAACAAGTAAAACAACGAAGTTTAGTTAAGTGTTTGGAATTACCCCCATGCTAGTGTTCGGAATTACCCCCTAAAAATCTCCTGTTTGGATTTACCCCCTAAAATACATGGTATAACCCAGATTTTTTGACAATTTATCAGAATTTTTTTCTGCAAATGCATTTTACACCATCTAATTCACATAACATATATAAAATTATTCTGCAGATGTGCAGTACAGCCAAGCTAACTACATTTTTTGATGGGAATGTTTGGAAAGAGACATTTTGACTCTACTTTTATTTATACTTATAAAAAGTAGCTCCCTGAATTTTCTCATTTTTTATATATTCTATTAAAAGTATTCTCCAAACTCTTTTCCAGGCAGTGAAAGGCGTAGACAGTGTGGGGAAGGAGGAGTTCATATTTAAAGTTAAGAAATACACACATGCCTTCATACTTATTAATTTGTACCAGAAAATAACATGTGCAGGTACAGCAATTTTTCCCCAAAATGTTATCTTCCAGCTGTACCTTAAAAAGACTCTCTATGAGGATTGCATCAAAATGGCCGAAAGTACACACGTAGTCTTATATATTTTTATATTTAGATGTCATTATTGTTTTGTACCTTTCACAGCATGAGTCAAATAAATGTGGGGTTATTCATATTTTTTCACATTTTTGAAGAAAATGACATAGGTAAGAGTGAACATTTGGAATTTTTATGCAATCCTCATTAAAGTCACAGGTTATTTTCAGGAACACTCATTCTATTTAAGGTGATGTTTCGAGAAAACATATTTGAAAAAATTGCTATAGTGCCCATGTTATTTCTGGTACAAAATAAAGTATGAAGGCAAAAACCATTAAGAAAATAATACACCCATGTTTTTATTCATACTTTATTTTGTACCAGAAAATAACATTGCAGACTTCAGTGACCTATTTAATATGTGGCTGAAGGATTTCACTTGGTGCAAGCAATTGAACATTTTCAGAAATTCAACTTTTTACTGTCATTTTTGTGAAAATGTTGAATTGATATAATCAGAGACATTTTTGAAAAAGGAAAGTGTCCTCACACATCCATAATTTAAAACCCTCAAAGTAATAAAAGTAATAAATATGACTATGTATCAAATAAAATAAATCAAGAAAATGTACTATGCTTCAAAAATGAAAAAGAAAACACAAAACAAATGACTTCACTGGGATGAGTAAAAGTATTGCATAAATGATTTTAGAAAAAAAGTTATATCACTACTGACTATACTACAATTATTAGAAAATAATTAAACTAAAGTAATAATATAATGTACTGTAGTCAATTATACTTTGTGACCATGATAATGCACTTTCAGATAGAAGCAGGCAGCCATGGGTGGGGTTTTGAAGACCAACACACCAGATTTGATGAAAAAACTGAGTCAGATGCAAGAAAGTGACATAATGTGTGATTTAGCCATACGCCTACAAGACGGCATTGACTTTCATGTACATAGACTATTATTCTGCGCACTGAGCACTATGATCATGGAAACATGTGCTGATCTTCCCCCCGATCATGTAAATGATCCCAAGGCTCCTTGGATTCTAGACTTCACAGGGACTGGGCTCACTGTAGAAACAATGTCAAATGTTGTACACTATGTATATGGCAGAACCATAGATTTGGAGGGGAAAGAAAAGATTGATGAAATGAAGCAGGCTGCTTCAATATTAGGAATGCCAACTTTAATCAGAGTGTGTGAACAACAAAATCGTGTTGCTAAAGTCTCACAAAACAAAGTTCTTAATATGAAGGATATAATTGCTAAAAAGATGCTTGTTACACCACCTACAAGTGCTAAAAAAAGCAGAATGGAAAGTGAAACTGACATCCCAGATTTTCCAGGCTTTGAAGAGGTTTGTACCTTGTTCCTTTTAAAGTTTATGAAAATGGTGGATAATATAAATCATTATAAAAAAAGTGACTAAAAATTTAGCAAGAAGTATATTAATCATACTTCAACCTCATTAATATATATAATATATATGAGACATAATTGCCAAAATTTAAATACTGGCATATTCTTGTACTGTCGCTGATGAGTCTTCAGGTGAAACAAATCAATATGAAATTAAAAATGTTCAAAATTCCTGAGTGTAGTCAATACAAAACATGGTGAGATTTAAAAAATAGATATAGAACTTCTAAATAAAAAATCTCTAAAATTAAATTGTCGCAAAAAATCACATAATTGTCTAACTAAACAGCATTAAATTCAAAATAACCCAAGTTGTAACAGTACTCAAGTATTGTGTATGAGTGCGGAGCTTTTTGAGGAGTCATTTTATTGTTTAGCTTCAGTAAATGTATCTAATTGAAAGCCCATGATATTTTAACCTGAAAAGGTATTGTTACTATTGTCCTAAGGCCATAAGAAGTAGATTCTTTGTTTTGCGTCCTGGCAAAATCCAAATCATGCAAGGGTACAAGGAAAACAAACACAAACTCAAGAAAAAACACAAACTTGTTTGCTGAGAAATATATACATTTTAGGGGCATAAAAAAGGATGACATCCCAATTTGCAGTGATTACAAACACATATCTATACATTTTATACAATATATAAAAATATAGCTATTATTCAAGGGTAAAAAATAAGAAAAAACACAATGTATGTCAAATAATTATAACACTGTCAATTTTGACGCACATCAAATTATCCGCCATTTCATCTGATTCTGAAATGCGATGGTACTCTCAGACTCTTGTGATTGCTATTTGGATGTGTTTTTTCTGATTTACTCAAAATCGTGCAAGCAAGGGGACGCAAAACAGAGGATCTACTTCTTATGGCCTAACTTCATTTTTCCTAATTTTTTCCAGCCATCTAATAGCGGAGTGAGGAAGATTCCCCAAAGAAAAAGGAACTACTGTGCTGAGTGTAATGTGTATTTTAAAAGGTGAAATATCATACTTTTAAGTTTTAAGGGGCCCCCCTCTAGACAAATGCTTAGTTCACTTTAAAAAACATTTATTTTCAGTGACTGTCAATCATATCCTATTTGCCGGGGTTATTAATGGTGAATTAACACATATTCGCAATTAAACTGCATTGAACTCTTCAAAAGCAGGAGGGAAAAATAAGAAATTTATTTGAAAAATTATCCAATTATCGTCTTTATTTGGGACCTATCACACAAAAAAAGCCCTGGAACTACTGAAAACAAGCCTTTTTATTGGAATATATATAGCGCCAGGGAAAGTTATTTTTTGTATATCAGATCTGATTAATTGATGTTTTTTAGTCAATGAAAGTACCCAATATTTGTGCTATAAAGTAAAAGCAATGTTTGATACAGTTATTGTATTTTGTACAACTTTAGAACTACCTTATTCACAGGCTGGTATCGAAAGATTTGTCCGCTGTGACGGAGCATGCCATTTTTCATAAAAACACTAAGAATGCTTCACGATTTATTTTTTAACTCATATGTTTCGTTATATCAAAGATATAACTTACTCCATGCAATGGATATATCATTTGCGTGTAACCTTCACTTCTGTTTGAAGTCCAATAACGCTAGGAGTAAAATCTATTGAAAACGGCGCCAGAGTATCAAACTCTAAAATGTACCATTTCTTTTTTAACTTTTTAATGGCATGATATAGTGACACGATAATATTACCATATGTTTTCAGCATAACTCTGAATGTATTAATGAGATATTAATGCATTGGGTCTTTTTAATTTTTTTATAAAAAATAATATTAATATTTTTTGTCCGCTGTGACGGAGCATTTGCATTTGCAACTGCTCCGTCACAGCGGACAAAAAAATTAAACATTATTTTTTATCAAAGAATTAAAAAGACCAAATACATCAACATCTCATTTATACCTTTATAGTTATGCTGAAAGGCCCTGAAACCATGTGGAAATATTATCGTGTCACTAGATCGTGCCATTAGAAAGTTAAACAAGAAATGGTACATTTTGAAGTATGATACTCCGGCGCCATTTTCAATAGCTTTTCTTCCCAGCGTAATTGGACTTCAAACAGGGAGTAAGTAATTTTGTATGGTATAACGAAACATATGAGTTAAAAAATAAATCGTGAAGTATTCTTAGTGTTTTTATGAAAAATAGCATGCTCCGTCACAATGGACAAATATTTCGATACCAGCCTGTGTTATTAGTTACAAAGTTCCATTGATTTCTGTGGTATGTAAAATATTATTTATTTCTGTATTGCAGCTCAGATCAGCACATAGAACACATGAAAAGACACAGAAAGAAATCTGTATGTAATAAATGTGGAAGGATTTTTGCAAAGCGTGAATGGCTAGATGACCACTTAAGAACCTGTGGCATTAAACGTTGCAGAGAACGGTACAACTGTATCCAATGCAATAAATATTTTCATTCTGCTCAAAGTCTTGGAGAACACATAGACCAGAAACACAAGGAGTTTTCAGGTATAGAACATTCTGGCTGGCGTAGTTACACTTTTTAATAATAGGCAGGTCAACAGGTCAGCTACATATTTTTAGAGAACTTAATATAACTATGTACCATTATGACTCCCAGGTATTACTTTCCCTCTTTCAATAGGTTTTGCCAGTGGCCTAATTACAACAACTATTTTTCTAATACCAGTGTTTCTTGCGAATAGGCCCACCAGGCACTTATTTTGCACTGGGCGTTTATTTGAAAGAATTCAAAATAAATGCCCATGGACCTTTATTAAAAGGGAAAAAACATTTATTAGTACGGACAAAAAGCTTTCCCAAGCCAGTGGGCTTTATTTTGAGGGGTATTATTGATCGTTAAGTTGACATATTGCCTTCATACTCATGCAATAGTATCATGAACGCTGACATGAACATTGACCAATATGTGACCCTTTTTCAAATTTTTGCTACATCATGTCAAGTTTATCCCAGTTCTCTGTTCTATTTGCTTCTGTTTTTTCCCAGGCTGTATCTTTTTATCATTTGTGTATACAGAATGCCCGAGGTTCACAGATTTCTCACTAAATTATACAAACAAACCCTTTTGCAGTTTCCTGTACACCTTAAAATGAAATACGCTTGAAAGTTCAAATGTTCTGTTAAAAATATTGTCCTAGAACCAATATTTCTGCACTACTTGGGCCCTATTTGCTCACCACACAACCACCTAACAAATAAGATAGACACCACATTCCCCCAGATTTCATTTCATATTTTTGTTCTGTCTTACTCTGGATCCATGCCTTCTTTCACTTATGTATAAAAATCACTATACTGTCAACAGAGTAATTGTGACAGGGCGATTGGTTTTTCCCAAAATATGTTTGCCAAAAGTCAAATTAATTGTGGATGTATCAAAAGTCCAAGAATATATATTTAATATTTGCTCATCTGTTTCTATGGCATTTAGGCACTGATTAATATTATGCATTTTTATTTATTAAATTCAGATGATGACACTGATGCCCTATTAATGGATGATGAAGCAGAACTACAGACTACAAAGAAACGTCTACGTGTTGAACATCCTAAACAATTGTTTATAGATGGTGAGGCGATCATCTGTGAAAAAGATAACACAGAGTGGCCTTTGAGCTCTTACACAGTTTATCTTCGTAATTTTGATAAAGTCAATGTGTCAACTAAACCCCCAAACAGACCCAAAGGTGGTGACATGTTTGTATTTAATACAACCCAGATGACTGACCATGAGTGGAGATTGGATGGGTATGACTGGAAAAAGCAGACCAAGTCCCAAGCAAAAACACTTACCAAAGGTATTTACTACATTAAAGCATATAGAGCAGATGGAATGCCATTAAGATTAGGATCCAGTGTCTTTAAGAAGTTTGAATACTCATTACTGAAAGATGACACTTTGGTTCTAGTGCACTACATTGGTGATGATCAAGCTGTTGAACTCAGTGCCTTTCGCAACCCGGCTGCCCCAAATCGAATTGCCTCAGTTCCATCTTCTGGAGTTCAAAAAAAAGTGACAAATGAGAGTCGTACATTGCACTTGATCGGTGATCATACATTTGCAGCCACACCAAGTGATTCAGATGCAACAAAAGAATTATCAGTGGAGAGTCAACAAACTGATAACGCAGTTGCTTCTGATAATGACACACATGTAGCTGATGAAACTACAGCTGCTCCTGATGATGAAACCATAGCTGCAGGAGGAGACACTGCAGTTGATGACACCAATGATGTCAGTGCAGTTCCCACTGATGAAATTATAATTGAAAATACAGCTGAAGTTGATAACGCAGCAGCTAAGGTCATATCAGAAGTTATTCCTGAAAACATAGTGGAGCAGTCAGTGCATACATCTTTCCAGCCTGTTCACAAGGGCAACGGAGCTATACTAATTGGGAATGACAACAGGATGTTAGTGAACAGGGAATGTGCTTCCTTCCTGAGCAACTTGGATGAATCCATCATCTCACTGCGACCTCCGTTGAAACCTCTTGGAGGGGAAATGTATGTGTTCAGCAGGAATCATTTACATGACAAAGATTGGCGATGTGATGGCTACAACTGGGTGAACACAGGACTCCGATCCAAAACATGGGTAAGAAAGATCCAATTTAACATTAAAACACAAGGGCCAGATGGAAAACCACTGAAACATGGATCAAGTGCCTTTCGCAAAATGGAATATACTTTGGTATCTGATGATACCCTGATACTTGTCCACTATCTTGGGGATGAAAGTGTTTATGTGCCCATGGGACATGGGAACAGCAAAAAGAGATTTGTTGAACATCAGAGAACAAGACCATCAATGCTACACAAAATCAAAACACTAACTGAAAATAATACTTCAAGTTCAGTCTTCAATGTTCTCTCTTCACCAGCAGGCGCACTTCCGGTATCAGAAATTACATTGGAGCCTGAAGTGGTTGCTCCACGAAGTCTTAAACAAGTCCAAAATCATAAGTATACCAAGAAGAAGAAGGATAGAGACGCTGCCGCTGCAAAAAATATTGTACACATTATGCAGACTGAAGATTCTAGAACAATGGAGGCTGGGAGCCAAATTGCTGATTGTGTTACTATATCTAGTACGCAATATCAAAAGGACCAAACTGCCCAACAAGTTCAGCAGCCATTTATTGTCTTTTCAACTAATGTAGATCAGACCCAATAGAAACTGATAAATGACAAAATTCAAGATATATGGATGTATTTAACATGTTCCTAATAAATAGTTGCCTATCTTTGTCATACATGCTATACTAGAGTCTCTCTAATAATTCCAGAGGTCTTTATATTTCAAAGCACTTGTAACAAGGGAAACATTAATTTCCAAGGCTAGTGGATGTTGAATTGAATTAATAAATTGTATGAAAAATTCAATACTACTGGTCCCCACCCATAACAAAACGGATGAACTTCAGTCGGAAGAAATTTATATTTTCAGCATTTTCACCAAGAAGGAGTTCGAATTGAAACCAAATATTTTACCCGTATGTTATTAGTAACATCCGGTTACTGAAAATCTATCCATCAGCTCCAATAATAAAGTGAGAATTCCTCACTTCGGTAACCAGGGCATTATCTAATGAATTTCATAAGGTCTTGGTTGCTACATGTTATGGCCTAATTTCCTGGTTGCTGAAGTGAGGAATTCTCACTCGATTATTGGAGCCGGATGTATATACTTGTGACAGATTCGCTATTCAGTAATCGGATGCTATTAACATAAGCAAAAATATTTGGATATCAATCGACCTCCTTCTTGGTGAAAATGACGAAAATAAAAATTTCCTCCGATGAAATATAAATATCTTGTTATAAAGACATGACGTCTGGTTGGGACCAGTGAATATACAAGATTTGCATACACTTTAATTTATTTACTTTATTTTCAACATACATGTACTGTATTTAAATGTAAATTGACCCTGAACACCAACCAACATGACCAATGTTATTTTCATGTCCATAATTGATAATCACAAAGGTACGGGAGTGGTATTGTTGCATTTAAAAACGGTCAGAAAGAAAAAACATAAGCCATTCAAAAGAAGGTTTTTTTTTTTTTTGGTGTACTCATCTTTCAAATAAAAACCCATTGGCCTATGAATAAGAAACTCTAGTATAATGTGGCGTATTAAAGACGTAAAAATGCTGAAAGTAAAATGCAGTTACTAGTAAAGAACAAAGTTTGTCAGGGATGTTGTAAAGCCCTTGGTTTTTCTTTTTCAACGTAAGTATTCATTACTGACTGACTGAGTTTTTGTGTTTTGGTGGTTATTACATCCATAAAATATATCTACATGTATTTATGCCCAAATTTTGAGTCAAGGAAAATGTTGGGACATTAATACAAAAATTGGGCTTTAATTTTTAAATTTAGGCCCAATTTTTGTTTTGAGGCCCCAATTTGGCCCAAATTTGAAAAACTCAAAGGTCTATTTTTTGTTTGGTAACTTGGCCTTCAAAAAGGCCAAATAATGCCCAAAAAGGTCTATTTTTTGAGGCCTTACAAAATTTTCGGCCCTCTAAATACAGGAATTTTTAGATATCTCTGGAACATGATTTTGTTACCATCAAATAAAATGTATTTTAGAGTTTATGTACATTGCAAATATTGTACCGCCTTTCTGATTTGTGCTTTGGAATATCCAAAATGGCCCTCTGATGTGGGAATTCGCAAAATAATATGGACATTTTGTATATGACTATATTACATTCAGATCTGATATTTTAGAGCAAATCAAAGTAATCAGAATATTGTGTTATCACTTTTATTGCTTTAGAGTATTTGTCAGTATGTTGTACCTTCTTTCTGATGTGTGCCCTTCAAAATTAAAAATAAAAACTAGCCACCCAAACTTTGAATTGACCATTTTCTATTTAGATGAGTAAATGGATGACAGCATGTGTGTTAGTCAACAAAAGTCACTTTATTTCTTGATACTGTAGATTGGGTTATTTGGTGTACTTAATTTGGTAGTTTTGCCATTTTTTGCATATTGGCGGCTATTTAATTTGGCGGACACTAGGGCTTGGACATTGCACTGGAATAAAATTCAGATTATTACACCTATTCCTTCAATTCAACTACTTAAATTAGCTATGATTTTATTGAATTCCCTTTGGAAATGCTCAATCATATTGATGTTTGTTCAATAAGTGATAGAAAAACATCAGACATGTCAGACAGTCAGATGAAGTTCCCTTAAAATTCCAGGGGATTCTTTCTAAATTTTGGCAAAGATGTGAATTGGTTATTTTTTCTATTTCACCAAATTAAAGGGGACACCAAATTAACCCAATCTACAGAATATAGAATGTTTCCAAATGGATCAATGTAAAACTCCATTGTTATAGTAAGATGATCTTGATGATGTTTAAATTGTGATTCATAACTACATTTATCTGATGTATCATGGGCTTTCAACAGTACATGTAGATTTGCTTCTCCCTGGAGTTGCTATTTTCTAGTTGTGAATTCTAAATGCTTTTGAGACGCATTGCCAATGCCATGTACAGATGTATATATTTCAAATAAAGGAAATAAAACTGCACGAAAAATAGTTTTGCTTGACAATATACATGCAGGGAAATGCTTGAATGCGATATACCCAAAATTTTAACATATTTCACTGTTCCACAGCTGGATGACTCTAACTGCAGTTAGCTTCACTCAAGATGATTGACGAAATTCTGTGTTTTCGACAAACCTCCGATTTCAGCTAAACTAAGCTGAATCTTGATTTGATGAAGTTTTGCCATACAAAGTAATGAGACTTAAAAAACAAAAATAAATGCCCACACACCTGCGATATTAGAGAATTTGAAAGAAAATAGCTTCTTTAAAATTCTCCCATATCACAGTTGTTAGAGCATTTATCTTTGGTTGTTTACAATCAAGATTCAACTTAGTTTAGCTGAAATCAGAGGTTTATCGAAATTGAAAGTTTGGCAACCATCTTCAATGAAGTTAACTGCAGTTAGAGTCATCCAGCTGTGGAACAGTGATATTTGAGACACATGAATGATGAAATTCCCATCCCTGAACTTATTAGAGAGTAATCTGCAATTTTTTTTAGTCCTTTGTATCATATTTTAAACATCAAAGTATTGATCATGCATAACTTTTTATCATTTTAGAATTTTGAAATTGCCACATTCTCTAGTGCTGTATCTTTTGAACACTTACTTCCAGTGGAATTTTTAAAACATTCAACACACTAAACCTTCATAGAGTATATGTGTACAAAATATGTACAAAATCGGGCCAACGGTATTTGAGTTATTGCACGGATGGACAGAGGCGTTCCCTATATCCCTCCAAAACTTCGTTCGATGGGACAGTTAATGAGACATGTTGAATTCATGAGGGGAAAATACTCGGGTTCAAAGATGATTATCTAAAATCATTTACCGTACCATACCTGGCCCTTTGCTTTTGTTATTTTGCACTCTGTATCCCTTCTACTTCCTCCAATATGAAATATATAAGGGTTATGTACTGGGAGGTTTTGGATATGGGGTTTATCCAGAGGGAGATATGCATATCTACCTGAGGGACCGAAGGTAGATATGCATATCTCACGAGGGATGAACCCAATATCCAAACCGACCGTACATAACTGCTTTATCCTATACCAAGTAGAGTTTCAGGTGCATATGGCCATTTCAATAGTACAAGGTGTAAAAACAATCAAATCATTCTTATGCAAAGTCATGCGGGAAGATATGCACCGAAGCGGGAAGATATGCACCGAAGCGGGAGATATGGCGGGAGATATGGAGGTTCTGGATATGGAAAACTCAAAATCAGGATACGGGATATATCTTACCAACTTATCTCCCTAAAACTTTACTTGGCATAGGATAAGATTCTTTATATACTCAAATATTAAATACACAAACCATTTTCTTATTAGCAAAGCATTGTAAAATGTTTTATTAAAGGAGCACAATTCAACTTGCAAAGTTTTTGTTCATACTGAAATTATAGGTTTCATGCCATTTGTTAAAAGCATCAGACAAATTAATCCATCATTAATACATAATATTATTGTGAACTACATGATACAGTAAAACTTGTGTATAGTGAACATTTTTTTGCCAAGAAAAAACGTTCACTGTAGGTAGGTGTTCACTAGAGAGAGGGTAATTTATACAGAAGTCAGTGGACTATGTGCATAGGAAGGGTGTCCACTAGGGACAGGTGTTCACTAGAGAGAGGTGTTCATTAAGACAGGTTTTACTGTACATCTATATGAACTGAGGTCAATAATAAAAATTTCATTAAAGGCATTTTGATGGAAATGGACATAAAATTTCATTGTTTACTTCAAAGTCTTTTTCACCATTGTTACAATCTCATAATTCCTCTTCCTTGAGTGGACAAGACATTTCTGCAATAATCCATTATCAACAGTGAACACCTGAACAGCTTACTTCCTTTTCCCTCCACTTGCTTCTGACTTTTTATTACTTTCTCTGCGCCTTTTGTTCATTGGATTTCTTGGATCAAAGATCTCATAACGGTCAGAGTCATCAACATTTGCATCCAATACTTTACCATCTTTTGTGTCACATACAAGTTTGTGGGCTAACCAAGAATCATCTGTATCCTTTATTTCCTCTCCAGACTTTTCCTCTTCCTGGTCCTCGGATGCTTCAACTGCAGCATGTAGTTTGTTTTGAAACTTGGAAAGTAGAGCCATAGTTTGAGCCTCTCTTCCTGCACCCTTCCTAGCCTGGGATTTTTTCAATTCTTTGAATTTTTTCCTCTGCTCCCGGAATTCAGCCATAGGATCATTCTTGAGGGGATGAGTTGGTTGTGATGACTCTTCCTCTTTTTTTGTTGGTGATTCATCTTGTGATTTCAGTTTCTTTTTCTTTGCTTTACTCAGTTCTTTTTGTAACTGCCTCACTTCCTCTCTCAGTTCTTCACTTCTAGTGTGAGTTTTTCTCTCTGGCTCTTCTTTTTTCATTTCTTCTTTGTCTTTCTTCAATTTCTTTTTAATCATTTCCTTCATTTCTGCTTTAGATTCTTCATCACTGTCAGAGTTTGCCTTTCTCTTCTGATCCCTATCTATATCAAGCTCCACAAGTTCCATAGCAGGCTGGGCACTGAGTTTTGGATCATCTGTAAGCTCATGGCTGCTCTTTCCCCCTTTCTTCTGACCAAGATGCTTTGTGGCTACATTGACTTCAACCTCATCTTCCTCTGCCTCCTCCCCAAAGGACAACAGATTAAAGTTTTTAGTGGCTTTTGATTGACTTTTCTTCTTTTTCTTTTCAGACTCAATGGTTTTCTTGACTTTGTCTCTTGGAACTATATCATCAAAAGGGTTATGCAAGACTTTAGTTTTTATGATCTTGTGAGGATGTCTAGGTCTATCATCACTTCCAATGTCAACCTCAGCCAAACGTATCATGTTATACACTGTCTGACCACCAACCTTTCCAAATATTGTGTGCTTATTGTTAAGCTCTGGAGTTGCACCAAGTGTGAAAAAGAACTGGCTAGCATTATCATGTTGTCCAGCATTCGCCATGGCAACTAAGCCCCGTCTAACAAACCTCAACCTTGAATGAAACTCATCCCTGAATGGTTTCCCATATACTGACTCGCCACCTTCTCCTGTGCCTGTTGGGTCACCACCTTGGACAATAAAGTCAGGAATAACTCTGTGAAAGAGGGTTCCATCATAATAACCCTCTAAGCATAATTGTATAAAGTTTCGAGCTGCTTTTGGTGTTTCCTTTGACCACAATTCAATGTCTATATCACCACATGATGTCACAACTAAAACCTTCCCATTTGTTGGAGGCTCCTGAATGTATATGTTACTCATTTTCAATTTTAGAAGTAAAAAATAAGATTGAGTAGTTATTAGCTTGCCCAAAGTCTGTGTAAGTGTTACAAATTTGTAAAAATATTTTACAAAATACACACTTGATTTAACCTTTCTCACATATTTTGAACTGGCACAAGTCTTGTTTGGCAAAATAAGTCTTGAGTCCTATTTAGGTAGTGACAATGATTCAGTTATCAGCTATATAGTGTCAGATCCCAAAGAAGCAACCTATTCTACACTAGGCATTGGCAATTTAGGTGGTGAAGCATCACACATAAAATTGAGATTACACAGGTTTGATTCTCAAACAGGACTTAGCCTATTTATCCACTAACATGTCTGTCTTTGGTTATATCTGTTTTGTTTCATAAACAGTCATATGCAGGTTCACAACTTTACAAACTTTCATTCATCTTCCTGTAGGGTCATCATCATATGTTTTTCAAACAGAATCAAGCAGAAGTTGTGACCAATCCTCTTCTCCAAGTGTCCTGAATCTGGAAATCAAAATGTACCGTAATTATATCAGTCTTGAGTTATTCTGCAATGAATGAAATTAAAAACACAACATCGTTTTGGATGGATTTTGTTCCTGGTGGATCATGTTTTTCTGATGAGACTTTCATGTGAAATACAATTATGGCGATAGTGTTGCAAGGAGATTTGATCACGAGGGGGTTAACTCTACAGACATTACATAATACAGAGTGTGACCTCATGAATTTTGTATGCAATAAAATAGGGTGAATTGATCACTTACGGATCCAAATTGTCCCCTATGGGTATAACTCTAATAGTTTATCAGCATAGTGTATTGTAACTGTTCCTGTTTCACCAGTTGTGACTCAGGCAGCTTCAGTGATGTTAACTTGTACAGCATAAACTCATCTGAGAGGAAAGGGATCAAGATTACTCTGAAAATAAGTTAAAAATCTAACATTTTACATTGAAAAACTGCTGAGTATAGCAGACCAGTGATATTTATCCCAGATGAAATAATGCAATGTCTCCAATTCAAAATCAGAAGTCTAGACTTATCCTGTGGCAGGACAATAGTCGGGATTTCTCCCGATTTAAATCCAAATTTGAGAGGTAAGAAATTATACAAAACTATTTGAAATAGACAAAAGTTAGGTTTTGTACATACATGTATCTCGTTTCATATACTGTTGCAATGCGGTCATTTGATTGCTTGTTTTTTAGATTCAAAGTACTCAATGGAATTATGAATCTTATTGTAGGCAGCTTTTTTTGACTTGAACCCTTACTCCTACGTTCGATTTCCACACAGGACATTGTATTTAGCACACTTTCTTTCAATTTCTGATGCTCTACTGACTGAGATATAAATAATATAGAAACGAACATTTGCAATTCGTAAATTTATTAATATTCGTAAATAATTTAAAAGTTACGAATGAGTTATGATTTCATAAATTTGCAAATGGATCATTTCTGAACACATTTGTAAGTCATTTATAATTTTTTCAATTGTTTAGAGATAAGTTTATGAATGAGTTGACGTCATATTAAACCGTTGTCAGGACAGGTACTCTAGATAGTACAACAAACCATGGGCTTTCAACTAGAAGGGTAGGCAACTTCCCATATTTCATTGCCTTTGGGTTTTCAAAATAGGAGAATGTACACATTCCAAGAAAATATTATTTTGTTCTTTTTATGGATGATTTAAAGAAATAACTCAAAAATAAAAACATGATCATCTACATACATGTTGATAATTTAATAAAAAATGGAATTCATCATAATTCTCGAAATCGTTGTTCCCTCTTCAAAAGAGAAGACGCGAAAATCTTTCCTTATAAGGGCAAAATATTTCCCATGGTGCAGTTCGTGGAGGAACAAATTTATACTTCCTTATTTTCCGTCATAGGTTTAACATGGGGATTTTCACACCTATTTTTCAAACGATATATTCGTTCATATTCCCGTACGAGAGTACAGAAAAAATTATTAGAAACGATTGATCTCTCATTAATCTTAATATAACAGCTATTTTTATCATTGTATTAATTCATAGCGTGGTGAAAACGATGATTGAAAAGTGAGAAAATATTCCGGAAGAGAAGGTCACGTGATCAGTAGACTAGTCGCCATATTGGAAAAAAACAATTCCATTCGACTTTCAATACTTTCATGCCAATCTTACCGCACTACAAACTGCGACATCGATGCAACAACTGAATAAAAGTATTCATCTTCAAATTACATTATAGAGTTACGTTGAAAACCCACAAACAACTGAGCAGTAGACCAAAGAAGACGCGTCGCTATTATCTAGGTCAATCTGTTCAGTGGTCCGAAAGCAAATCTATAGTACTCGTTTCCGAATTTTGTTGTTCATTGTACAATCTTTTATTGATTAAACTCGGTATACTGACTATTAAAGCAATGACAAAGAAGAATACTTACGATGGTGTCATTGTTTTATTTAGCGTGCGGGTGTAAAAACAAATTCAGTAATTAGTTTGATTTAGAACTTTCGTGTCACGCAAATAGCTACGCGAAATGCATAGTGGGAAAATATTGACCAATCAGATTTTGTCCTTTTTGAGTGCTTTTTCAGTGCATATTTGCGAACGTTCTGATTCAAAGAGCGAACCGCGAAAAGGAGAATTATGACAACACAGAAAGTGAACATTCTCCCACAAATTATGTTTTTATTGGAATGTGTTCCTGAATAATTACCCACAATGCAATACTCAAAGAGAACATCTTGATAACTCTTACTCTTATTGGTCTTTTTTGTTTACTTTTACATGAGATTCAATATATTTTATGCTTTAATCATATTGGAAATTGATTAAATATTCAAAATAATACTAAGACATATACAAATATCTAATACTTTTTGAAATATTACCATAAAAGCGAAGCATGGCATTGCTCATTTTGAAGGTCTCATGTTTATTACACAGAGTTGTATACCCTTCTAATTGAAAGCCCATGAACAAACATGTTTTAATAAAATCAAAGTTGTACGATAAGTTGCATAAAGATAAAGATTGAAAGAAATAGAAATAAGATGATAATGATTTGATGTGTTGCTCATAGTCTTTCTCTGATTAAAAAATGACAAAACATCACAAAATACAATAATTAGAAGTCGTTCGCAAAGTTACGAAAGGGTCAGTGCTATTAAATCTGTGAACGAAAGAAGGCATGGCGTCTATAAATCAACTACACAATAGAATGCTAAAATACAAAGGAATCTATTGAAGTAGGTATCTTAAGGTGCTATGGAAGTTAACAGGAAATGACAAAACAGGAAGTGACAATTTTTTTCCATTTTTAGATATTTTTTGAATAAAGATAACAGAGTTCTGGTTTGACCTCCAGTCAATTTAACTATTTCCACATATCATTTACATGACCAGGATCACAATGTGGATGGTCAGAATGACCCTAAACATGATGAAATAACCTTTTTAACCCTTTGAAAGTGTGACTGAAAAAAAGCTAAAAGTAGGAGCGTAGGTAAGGTCACTGAACAGAATCTTTTGAATTTTTCAGAAAATGTGCCCAATATATTGCTCTAAATGATACAATCTTTGAAAATTTGATATCATTCATAGAAAAAGAAAAAAAATGAAAAAAATGATTTGAAAAGCGATCTATTTTCCTTTTTATGACCGCCATTTATGTTTAAGACAATTTTCTAAAATTTCAAAGATTGTACTAGTTAGAGCATTATATTGGGCACATTTTCTGAAAAATTCAAAAGATTCTCTTCAGTGACTATCCCTACGCTCCTACTTTTAGCTTTTTTTCAGTCACACTTTCAAAGGGCTAAAAAGGTTATTTCATCATGTTTAGGGTCATTTTGACCATGCACATTGTGATCCTGGTCATGTAAATGATATGTGGAAATAGTTAAATTGACTGGAGGTCAAACCATAACTCTGTTATCTTTATTCAAAAAATATCTAAAAATGCAAAAAAATTGTCACTTCCTGTTTTGTCATTTCCTGTTAACTTCCATAGCACCTTAAGTGTAAGGGGCGTAGATAATTCTCCCAAGTTGTTATCGTACAGGCAAAAGATTGAGCTCGGTCCAGGACTGTAGTCCTGGCACAGGATAAAGGCCGGCCAGTCTTTTTCAAATGGAGTTCACAGTATTCCAGATGAAATTACTTCTAGCCAAGAATTGGCTAGAGACTCGAGTAAACACTGTATATTGTGCAAAAAGAAACCAACCATCACATTTATGGGGTCATCGTATGGGCGATAATAGAGGTTTATGGCTCATTCAGATGATTTACTCATTGACAAGCAAAAATTACACATCAAAATCTTACTTAAATTTAGGAAAAAACACGTACGTATCCTGGACTAAGCCTTCATCGTCCTTACTAACACGAGATACGATGATACTTGTTGAAGTGTTCGTCAATATTTTGAATTTCTGCAGCTGCCAACTTTAGGTATCACTCCACAAAATTAAACAACCTGTCAAGGATTGGCTCCCAGATTAGAATGTCGAAATTATTTCGATTCGTTTGGTACACATACTGAGCCCCATGTGTCAAACAAACCCTTGAACTGATGTTGAAAGATGTCGTAACTACGAAATTCACAATTCAACAGAGTCAGTCGTCACTTTTTCACACTAGAACCAACAGGATGCATTGACACCACAGGATGACCTTGACAAACTGGTCTCCTGGGCAAATACATGGCAAATGAAATCCCATCCCTCAAAATGCTATGTACTGAGTATTCACAGACGTAAATCACCCATCACACACAAGTACACTATGTTAGGAGAAGAATTAAAATCTGTGACCCACATTCCGTATCTAGGGATTGAAATCACAAACAACCTAAACTGGACCACACACATACAAACAGTAATATCGTAATCTAACAAGGTACTAGGCTTCCTCCGGCGCAACCTCCACCAGTGCCCAGAGAACATTAAAGCCCAATCATACAAGTCACTAGTACGGCCAAACCTAGAATATGCTAGTGCAGCATGGGATCCTTACCGTCAGAAGGATATCAACATGCTGGAACAGGTACAAAGGAGAGCAGCCAGATTTGTCACCAAATGTCACTCTAGGGAACCAGGCTGTGTCACCCAAGCTCTCCAACACCTGCAGTGGGAATCACTACAATCCCGTTGGGAGGCTTCTAGACTTTCCCTCTTCTACAAAGGAACTCACAACTTAGCAGCCATTACTAAGATATGAGATCTATTAAAAATAGCGCATCATCACTAATGTGCAAAAGTCAATGTTTTTGCTATAAATCGGGCAACAATGGTCTACACAACCTGTAATAAACTAGTAATAAATAGGTATAAGGGACATTATTATCACAATACTAATGACATTGCTCACTTTTTAAAGTTAGTTTCCATGCGTTATACAAAAAATAATCGAAATAAATTAATATTGGATGGAGGGGGGGGAGTGGATGGAGGGGGGGATTTATATGTCTTTACGATGGAACAAATTCACAAGAACTCGTGTATTTGAAAAAACTAAACTCAGTACCCCAGTAAGAAACTGGATATTATATCTCTGGAGAATGAAAAATGGAAAAATTTGGAGTCATAAGAATAAATTCAAGTAGCATGTCTTATCATGTCTTACATACCCGTGATCCCCCCCCCTCCATCCAATATTAATTTATTTTGATTATTTTTTGAATAACGCATGGAAACTAACTTTAAAAAGTGAGCAATGTCATTAGTATTGTGATAATAACGTCCCTTATACCTAAATATTACAGGTTGTGTAGACCATTGTTGCCTGATTTATAGCAAAAACATTGACTTTTGCACGTTGGTGATGATGCGCCTTTTCTAATAGATCACATATCTTAGAAGGGTATCAGTTCAAAAAAATACTAGATGACCTAACATATTTTGCCATGCACTGCACCTATTCATTTGACAATTCAGTTGTAAATTTTTTCTTGAATAATTAAATCTTCCAAATTTGTTGAGTTTTCTTGCAGAAATCGCCTAATCTTCCCCTCCATCCATTTTGTACGACCACCGGGTGTGTCAGTGTACATTTTAAAATGAGTTGTAAACCATAGATCTATTTTTAAATGTTAAGGTTCAAATTGTATTATATTCAAATTTTATCACTGTTAAGTTATATATCTGCTTTAGATGGGCTTATTAGCCTTTTGCGGATTATTGATGTAGATGTAGATTCGAGAATGAGGCGTGAACAAGTGAAGCGGTTTAATTTAGTGGAGTGTTACCTAAAATAGATTTGAAAATTCGGAGGATGTTTTCATAAAGTTTCACCATATTAGTGTTATTATTGACGATAAACTCTCAAAATTCAGTCCAGGTATGTATTTCACTTTAAATTTCCCTTTGATTTGAAAAAGTATTCCGTTTGTTCGTGAGGGAATCGGTTGAATAAGAATGTTAGGTCTAGATTACTCTATTATCGCCCATTGCTTGATTTGTTTATCTTATGTTTGACTACACTGTATGGTTTTCAATAGACCATGGACTGAAAGTTGAAAGCCCATGAATAGACTAAGCATGCGATATGTGTATTTTAAGGGGCGATTAGAGTCTTGTACTTTAACCCATTGTTAAACCTAGTCTCTTGGCCGTATTTCTTATCTGACATATTGTGTTGCCCACGACAAGGTTTACACATGTGCATATAGGGAGTATAACGTTGACACTATTTTGGGGTAACTTGGACATAAGGGGGAACTTTGCCACCTTGTTGTTTATTTGCTCTAATTTCTGATCTATGGGGAAGCCAAGTTCTTTTTCTTGCATGGATTGAGATTTTGCGAGATTTTAATTTTTCAAGAAATCAAACATAAACGGAAAACGCAATTTCTACTTCTAATTAGTAAGTGTCGATGTTACCCCATTTCTCATGTCGACATTACCCCACACGTCGACAAAATGGCAGACTGCACAAATAAATGGGAAGTGGTTATTTTCATCGATATTGATGCATATAAACGTTTTGTTATTAACGAATCGTTAATAGCGAATCGTGAAATTAACGACTTGATAAACGAAATCTGCAAATTCCATTTCTCGAACCATCTCGTTATCGGGCTCGTTCAGCTTGTACCAAATCATTATATTTGGCACCAAATTAGTTATGACGTGGGTTATTTTTGATATTTCCTTAGTGACCCGCTTTGTTTTATTCTGGTTTTACTCAATGACCACTGTGCAGTTATTTTCGCACAAAATCTGAATGTAAATCTAGCTTCGTACATTTGTGTACACATAAAATTAAATATGCTCGTGAAACAGGTAAAATAATTTTAGGAGCAAGAATAAGGGCGTGGTGTGGTGTGAAACAAACACCCGGCCCATTTACAAACCTTGAGTTTCATCCTTATTTTGGAAAGATTTGCATCAAACATTCTCATTGAACGTGCCAAATAATGCAGTAATGCCGGAATATTTGTATTATATATTATACAAAGGCAGTAATATCTTGTTTAATCAGCATATAAAATGTGTTTAATGACCTATAATTTGTTTAGATACCACATCGTTATATTACGAGGCCCTCTAACCCTATTGTAAAATCAGTCATGGATAACGAACAAATCTTTAAAAAGCATGGCGTCATCGCGAATCGTTAACTTTCGAGAAACGGAAAAATCTTTAACAACAATTGAATTAACAATTTGTTTATAACGAAAATTTTGAGAAATTTTCTCCTGCTAAGACATATTCAACTGATCGATAAATGCACAAGGAAAGCATCGAGGCAGGCAGTATGACATTCTGTTATTTAGTTGGAGGGAGACTCCTAACATGAGAATTTGGGAGCCGGTCTGTGTTTATTAAGACTTACAATTTAGCCTAGCTGAGCTATCATTGATGACTCATAATTGTTTCATTTTTTAGATAAATCATCTGAACATCACATGATTTTTGACATTTTTATTCCTATGGTCCCAACAAATTTTCATTGACAGATGTCAAATTCTCACTCAGAAACATGTTGCATATGTCTTATTTTAGAGACCTAAAACAATTTTCTATGATGTGAACTTGAGTTTTCTGTTTTTCATTATTTTTCAGAGAAGAAAATGGGTTCTGCAATAAGAGGGAAACTTGTTAGTACCTTGTTGAAGAAACTTAGTAGAATGCAGGAGGATGGAATAATGTGTGACTTAATGATTCATCTCCAAGATGGCAGTGACTTCCATGCACATAGACTGCTATTCTGTGCACTGAGTGACCTTGTCATGGATACATGTGCATCCTTACCCCCAGATCATATTGTAGACCCAAAATCATCATGGATTCTTGATTTCTCAGGGACAGGAATAAGTATGAATACAATGTCAATTATAGTAGACTATGTCTATGGCAGAGACACAAAATTGAATAAGGATGATATAGATACAGTTAAACAAGCAGCAGAGTTGCTTGGCATGCCAACTGTTATAGCACTCTGTGAGAAACAAGAAAAGATGGCAGCTCAAAGTACATTTGATGATAATGAACAGATTGAGGATGATGATCCTGAGTTTGTAGAACCTACTGCTGCCTTTGATAAAGTGGAGGTTAGAGAAGGCTTATTTTATTTTATATATATGTGGTAAAAAGTATTTATGATGCATGTATACACATACTATGGAGACATTGGTATATGTTTGCCTGGTGGGGGGGCATACTTTCGGGACACCCTGTATATATCATGTATCGTATATTATTGTAGTATTTAAAATTGGAGTATTTACATACCATACAAAAAGTTTTATATGTGTGTTGATTACCCTCACTTCCAAAATCAGATAAAGAACTGTTTTTGGATGTTAATAATGAATGTTTGATGATTGTTTGATTATTTCAGGTGACTCCAGGAGGTCGGCCAAAGAGGAAGAGGAAGTTACCTTCAAAATTTTCAGGGGATAATATGTACATTGTTGGTGAGGACTTGCAAAGACATTTTAGAACAAAGAAAGCTACAGAAGACAAAAGTACTAGTGATAGAACTACAGAGACTGACAATAGTGCCAAAAATACTCATGAATCTCACCCCCAAACTAAAACTCTGAATGCACAAAGACCTACAGTTGATAATGTAGTCTTAATCAATAACATTCAGCATGAAAATACTGTTGAAGTTTCAATCAAACAAAATGATCAAACCTATAATGAGAATGTACAGGATAATGACACAAGTGGTAATATGGATGAAGATAACAATGCTAATGAGATACCTGTAGTTGTATTGGTGGAAGAGGACCTCAAAACTTTGCAGGCTGAAGATGGTGATAACATTTTTGAAGTCGGGCAAGGTAAGTTAAATACAAAAATACATATCAGTTCTGAACAGTATTAAATTTATTACATCCCAAACTTGAATTTCAAACTTGTAATGTTTGAGATATATAAGGCTGTGGGAGCAATAAACTATATTTGACTCAGGATTGAGGATAATCCCAACACAATAAGTTATTGAATGATTTGAAGTGCAATACTGGATATATTCTGCTCAAGAAATTATCGAGACAGAATATATCCTGTATTGCACTTCAAATCATTTAATAACGTTTTTATCGTGTGATCTTAGGCCAATACGTTTTACTCATGAGATAATCCCTAATAATTATTCTGTATTCTCTGTATTGCTACTGAGATTTCCCCGCCTCCATGCCAATATTTTCTGTATTGCTATGAAGATGATCAACGGGGACAATCTCAGTAGCAATACAGATTGGTACAGTACAAGAACTGACCAATCAGAGGGTTTCATTTTACAGATCATACGATAAACAAGATTACAGTCACGTCAAAAGGTTATCCAAAAATTGTGCACTCTATCATCTAAATTCATAATGTACATCAAGTTTGTATTATTCATACTTTTGCAGATGATGATTCTGATGTGGAAAAAACAAGTATCATCAATGTGTCTGCCTATTCCCAAGAGGTTAAAATTCCAAACACAGGAGAACCAGTGGTAAAAGGAAATGGTAACGAGGAAGAAAGGACACCAGTTGCAGACATTGAGGAAGAAGGGGTAGACAAAAAGAAAGAAGGGGGAAGTAAAGGAGAAAGTGTTGAAGAAGGGGAAGCTACGACTGGCACTAATGAGGGCACAATTCAAGACCCAGACCTTGAAGAGTTGAAAACTGGGGCAGGGAAGCCAGGTAATGCCTAAGCCTCATTTGCTCTGATTCATCGGCTGGCACCTGGCCAATTGCAGTATTTTGTTCAAAACTGATTTCAACTTGCTTCAAATTGACCAAACTTTTTTTAAAATCATGTAGAATTTTTCAGGAGTTCACATCTGACCTCAAATCTGAGATTTGACCTTCAATTTTAAATAAAATACTCAATCATTGCCATTTCCCAATTTTCTCAGTTTTTGAGATTTGCAATATTGATGTCAAAAGTCTCATTTCGAGATGATATATATTATGGACTCTGCTATATAGAAATCACCATGTGAGTATAATACTTATAGCAGCATTAAGTATGTTTCATCTGGTTTCAGGGAGTTATTATACGTGTGAGGTGTGCGGATCACGCTTCAAACAATCCAGGTACTTGAAAGAACACATCAAGAACACACATAGTAACAAGCAGGCATATTATTGTGAGGACTGTAATACATTCTTTAAAAGGTAAAGTAATCAATGACTTTGCTTTATTATACACTGTATACATGTGATATAAACACATCTGAGGTGTCGCTGGAAAATAAATTCTGAATGGTTGGGTATTTGTGGATTACTACTTACATAATAAATTACTTGTGAACTATGTTGATTATTTGTGAATTACTACATCTTTTCATCAGAAGGAAATAAATGTGGCTTTGAAACATTGTCATATTCCCTTATAAGAACCTTGAAGCATCTTGAGACAGTGAGTTCTACTATATCTACACATTTGAGAAGTTAAAAAGAAGATGTGTATTTTCCTTGGTTCATGCATGGTCTTTCAACTAGATCTAATTGAAAGCCCATGGTTCATGGGATATTTCTCAAAAGTGTACTTAATCTGGAGTATCCTGTTTCACACTGCGCTGTCAGAGCTCCATAATCGCCAAGAGATCAAACATTTAAAGCTGAATTGAATTTATGCCATAATTCAAAACAAACAAGGTCCTGTGACGAGAAAATATTGTGGATTACCCACCGTGATTAACATTGAATTGCACAATGGAACCTACAGATTATTGAATTTTATGAGTCATGATTCGCAACATCTTCCAAAAAAAATCATCCATAACTTTCATAAACTTTCATTCATGTTGTAGATTGGACCAATACAGACAACACATGGCTCTGCATCTAGGGACATTCAAGTGTGAAAAGTGTGGTAAGGTGTTCTCTAGAAGGAGGCGCCTTGAAGACCACATTCCAAAGTGTAAAGGTATGTAAATAATAAAGGCATGATAATATAGGACATGATGAATTGGTGTTGAGATGTTCCAAAGGTAACCATTTTTAATAGAAATACTTTCAGTTTTTCCAAACTTAAAATGACAAAAATGTGTAAAACATGACTTGTGGATAGTGTGAGATAGTGAGAGTTATCAATTTGATCTCGAAACTGAAGCTGAGCTCATTTGATCAAGGTATGCATTTTTAGATCTACATTTACATGTTTTAGCTGTTCTTTGATCTTGATATGTAACGTAAAAATACTTTTTATTTTAACCATATATTTATTTCCTGATCAAACCAATGTACAAAAATATATTAACTTTACCACACACAAAAAAGAGTTTATACATAACAAAATAACAGGTCATATTAATTATCATTCTCGACTGATACTAGTTAACAGTTTTGTAACTGGCATCAACGTTTCTTCCAGGTGAATTTCTTACATTATTAGGGAACGCCACTCATTTAAAAAGTGTGTGAGGAAATTGTGGTACGATTTATGATGTGAATGAGCTATAGTATTAATGTTAAGCAATACATTGCAGGAGTAAAGATTCTCTCAACAAAGAGACCTCAACTGTACTGTGACAAGTGCGAGAAACTTTTCCTGTCATTTGTCTCTCTTAACAATCACATAGAACGGGAGCATATTCAAACGCAACCAGAACACCAACCTCCTGATCAGCCACAAGGTAGATTAAAATTACATATCAATTGAATTCAGATAAAACAGTGATATTTTGATATTATGGGCCAAACATGGACGAAGGGGTTTGTTTGTGTATGTTTACTGAAATCTTTTTATCTCGGTGACAATGATAATTCTGAATTTCAAATAGGAATCCTCACAAGGGTTGAAATTGATATCACTTGTATTGCAACATTTTATTTCATTCCTTGTAAAGGGACTACCATAATGTAAAGTATACTGTTCATACATAAAATTTAATTCAGATGAAAACCAGACTAATGACACTAACGAGGAAACAGCCGATGAGATTGATAAGGTTGCAGATCTCCATAACAACTCTGATTCTGTTGAACCAACTCCAGCTCCTTGTGCTCCCAAGAATGTCCAGAAATGCTCCATATGCAATCTTATATTTGGCAGCATTACTGGTTTGACTACTCATATGCGTTCAGAGCATTTTGGTAAGCTTTTTTATTACTCTACTGCTCAATTTGGTGATCTGTGTGGCTGACGTTTATGTATACTGGAGTTCTATATCGAGCACATCCTCTGTTCTATGTTCCCTTGTTTTACTCATCTCATATATGAATATTCACCAAAATTAGGGACAACATGTCAATTATGGCAGTAAAAATTGAATTTTTGCTAATTTTATATCCCACTTTATTACCCAATTGCTGTCTGTCTGTTTGTCTATTGATTAAGTGTATTCAAGTAATATAAACACTCAAATATAGCATAACAGAAATATTTATTAGAAATGGTTGCCATAGTAATCAAAAATCAAGGAAACTAGGGCAAATAAAGAATTGTGAGAATAGCGTTCATTGGTGTAGTCAGGGGGTGTGATTGGTGCAATCACAACAATTTTCAAATACTACCTATCAAATATACTATCATTATCAAACATTTTAAAATGTTGAGTTGTTTGTGTTGTTTACTGTTTTTATCGGTTTACCTTTTTATCCATCACAAAATGATTGAGTGAATTGTGCGTGCAAATGGGCCATTCAATAATTGTTTGCTTTCTTCAGGTATAAGGTATGAATGTGAAAAGTGTGGCTTGTATTTCGATATGTCGAATGCTCTGAAGTATCATCATAGACAAGATGGGGGCTGTAAATTTGAAAGAGGTACATATACATTCTTCCTAGACTCAGCAATATGGGCAGCATAAATTACAAGTTTTGGATTGTATCAATTTGATCTGGCATTTAATGGAACTTTATCAATTCTAAGAAATATCATGTACATGTAGAAATAGAAAGAAATCTGTTAGGCAATTTATTCGTCGGCAACTGTATTTCAGTTTCAATTCAATATATAATATATGAAGTACTAAGCCCCAAAATTACCAACAACATTCAAGATGTCTACTTTATTAAATGTGAATCTGTTGTACAGGCCCATAGCTAGGAGGTCCCCTTGCCAATAACCATGCAGTTTTTCACCATTTAGAGTACTTCAATGGATTTTGGTCCAAATTTGTCAAACTTGAACCCCAGGGAATTTTGTAAAAACTGAACCTTTTAAAGCGTGCTTTACCCTTTTAAAGCGTGCTTTAAACCTATTTTAATGCATGTTATTAATTTTTACCACTTTATCTTAGTGACAAGGTACAGACTGTATATGCATTTTTCAGCTTTCAAATGATATTATATTATTTCTGAGGTGATTGAATATGCACAAACTTCATTCTGTATTTAGAACAATGAAATAGCAATCCATTTATTTTAGTCCATAGAAATATAAATGTCCTTTGTGGTTTAAACCGATGGAGTTAAAATTCAAAAATGTTGAACTTTTGTAATAGAAAGATTGAACTTCAAGTGAAAAAAGTGACCTATTTGGAATAACAGCCCCCCTCCCTAACCTCCTTTCTAGGGATTATGCAGGTCTATATTGATATGTATTACTAATGTGTAGTTAGTAATATTAATGTGCTGCCACATCCCAGATTGTAATGACATCAATATATTAAATTAAAATAGGAGGCTTGTGTTTAATAGTCTAATTGTAGTCTAATGTGGTCTTAGTGTGGTGGTTCCCAATGTTTTTTCAAAATGTAGTCACATTCTAGTAGGACCATATATAGTACACCAAGCCACTCAATAGCTAGACAACACACAAGTATTTTTGTTGTCATATTATTGATCATGTTCAGAATTTATCTTTGTTTCATACTTATTTTTTAAACTGCCAGACCCATAATATTCAGATTGCTGTGTCTGGTGTATTATGAAAACATGTTTGTTTCAGCTTCTGAGGGTTCTGATCCTTTCCTGACCTGCCAAATGTGCCAGGTAGTCTTCCCAGAGAGAGGATCCCTACAACGTCATATGAGATACCATGTAGATAAAGACAAGCGTACATGTGAGGATTGTGGGCAGTTATTCTCAAGAGTGGATCAGTTGAATGAACACAGGAGGCTACATAAGATGAATTTGAAGTGCACGATATGTGAGCAGTGCTTCACCAGACCCGCACGACTTAGGAAACATCTCAGGGAACAACATAAAGGTAATATTAATGAAACTTCAACATATTGGTGACATCGAGCATAAAGGTAATATTGAATATGAAACAAAGAGGTGCTTTCATTTGAAAAGGTAATAGAGAGATTCCGCAACCGTGTGTTCATAAATCCCTTATGCTTATTACTTATAAAGTGTGTGTACTATGTCATCACTTGTCACGCAGCTCTATCCATTTTAAATACGGAACAATATTTATATATACAACAATAAAATGTTGTTTAAGAGTGAATAAATACTTGTCTCCTTTACACCTAGTTATAGTTATATGGTAGGGAATCATTATGATTTCTGGCATGAAGTCATATTACAACTATCTAATCCACCTTATGAACAAGGAATTTTGAGGAGAAAACGATTCATTCTAGGTGAAAGAACATTAAAATTGAATGGTGAAATATATATTTCTATACGCATAAGTAGTAAAGTACATATTTTTCCAAAACACAAAACTTCAATTTACATGTTGTGCTATACTTATAACTTATAGCGACACGCATGAAAATAAGTTATGGTTTCAAGTATGAGCAACATCTCTCTAATATTGAACATGATTGTACTTTTGAAAATAAAGATAACATTGAACTTATTCTGCCTTAAAAATATCTAGTGAAAGTATGCTTGCCTAAACAATCAATAAATATCATGTATTACTGCATGAATGATGGATTGCATTGTACATTGTATAAACCATATATCATTGTCAAAATGTTCTCATCCAGATGTACCTGATTACTGTCCATGTGTCTCGAGTGAATCACACACATACCCATCATGTTCCATCCACTTTCCTGGTGAACAGATTCATGGTAAGTCATCAGACCTCCTGAGCAATCCCAAAGAATATTTTGTTTGGTCTTATTTGTGCTCCTTTTACAGGAGCCTCTCTGTATCTCTCATACAACCTTTCTATAGCTCATAGAGACTCACTATGATTCATAGAGTCATGCTATATTTGTTGACTAAAATTGTTGGTCATTAATTATCCCATCGAACGAAGTTTGGAGGGATATAGGGAACGCCTCCGTCTGTCCATCCGTCCGGGCAATAACTCAAATATAGTTGGCCCGATTTTGTTCATATTTTGTACACATAGAAGTTCTACTCGAAAGCCGATTTTCAAAATGTAGATATTAAAGAAGCACATGGCAGCCATCTTGAAAAATGGCGGCCTTTACTCATTATTTTACAATTTTTGCTGTAACTCGAAAAGTAGCAGAGCGATTTTGTTCATATTTGGTATGTGAATACTATAAGCATGGCACACTGTCTAATGACACTTTTGCTAGAAGGTGGCCATTTTGAAAAATGGCCACCATTTTAATGTATTTTAATATAACTCGAAAAGTAGTGGAGCGATTTTGTTAATATTTGGTATGTGAATACTATAAACATGGCACACTATCTAATGACACTTTTGGTAGAAGGCGGCCATTTTGAAAAATGGCCACCATTGTAACGTGTTTTACTATAACTTGAAAAGTAGTGGAGCGATTTTGTTCATACTTGGTATGTGAATAATATAAGCAGGGCACACTGTCTAATGACACTTTTGGTAGAAGATGGCCATTTTGAAAAATGGCTGCCATTTTTGCTATACTTTGTTTGTGAAAATGCCAGCCATGGCTCTTCAATGGGATTTGCTACGCTTTGGCGTTGCTGTTGTCTAGTTTTTAGATGCTATATTATTCACTGTGTTTAATGTGTTCCTTGTTATTTCAGAGTGTGAAATATGTGGTAAACAAATAAAGGGATCAATGTCTAACTTTGAACGCCACAAGAAGTCACACGAACAAAAGGAATATGAATGCAAAACATGTGGCAAAATTTTCGACAAATATGGTCCATTTTATGATCATGAAAAGACGCACCTGGAAAAGCCATATGAGTGTAGCTATGAGGGATGCAATATGGGCTTCACACAGAAATATAAACTGAGTGTCCATGTCGCTGCTGTTCATAATAGGTCACGCTTTGAATGTGATGTGTGCAATAAAAGGTAAATTGATTGAATGAGAACCATGATTACATTTGATTTATTTCGTGGCTATCTATCTCTAGCTGAATAATTTGAATAAAGGTTCAGAATCAGAATTTTGTAGGCATGAAAAGTGATACATGTTCAACATTTGTAGTTCTATGTGTAAGCTAAACTATGAAAACTGAGAAAGATTTTATTTTTCAGGCTTATCTCCATATCAGATTTGATAGTTTTTCTTTCGGTTTGACTAGTTAAATATATCCTTTTCATTTCTTGTTGAGTTTGGTACAGCACACTACTTGAAGCTTCAAATGAATTTGACTTAATGTCTCCTTTGTTGTAAGGTTTGGCACAGCATGATATGTGAAGCTGCGCATGAATTTACCTAAATGCCTCCTTTCCTATTATGTCGCTGTAAACCTGAAGCTGCACCAGATATAGTCTAAATGTCTCATTTGTTGTTAGGTTTGGCACAGCATACTACCTGAAGCTACACAAGAAGTGTCACACAGAAGAGGAATGGTACAAGTGTGACCACCCAGACTGCGATAAAAAATATCGTATGAAGGCTTCCCTAAAGATGCATCGTATAACGCATGGCACAGAGAGACCATACAACTGTAAATTCTGCAAACGTGGCTTCTGGCAGAAGGTTAACATGATTCAGCATGAGAGAGTGCACACTAATGAGAGACCTTTTACGTGTAACATGTGTGGTGAGTTTAAACCGTAGAGGCAAATTTAGTGATGACTTTAGTACCTTTTGGATTTTTTCTTAGGGAGGAGTGATTCATCTGAGGTGTTTTGAACTTAAACAGAATAACCCTAAGTATGATTTATACTAGGTATATTGAATGGAATAACACAAGATTATATGTCGGCCTTCCCATTCAAAAAACATTCTAAAGTGAAAAATTTTGACTTGAACTGATGACCTCCCCTTAATGCTTGAATTCATTGGATAAAGTCCATGGTATTTTGGAAATCAGATATGAATATGAAATTTAGCAGTGTAGCTGGAGATGAAGTTTATTATCCCCATGAACGAAGTACGGTAGGGATACAAAGAAGCCCTCCATCTGTCAGTCAGTCAGTCACTCAGTCAGTCAGTCCATCCGTCACACAAGTATTTCAGAAATAAATATTGATTTCCTTGATGAAAACATGTCATATAATATACCAGTGAATAGGTAATTTACTTATCTTTAATATGGTATATCATACCCATACATCCACCCGTATAGCTCAGCAGTAGCGCATGTACCTCTTATGCAATAGGTTCAGGCAAGACTAAATTTGTATAGCTATATTATGCTCAAATTGAAGATAATTTAGAGTAGATCACAATTATTGTATTGTTTTTCTGATTTGTGTCTCAGAAAATTCAAAATGGCTGCCAGCCTGTCACGTGTAGGATTTCGCAAAAAATTCCCAATCCTTTCAAAATATGGCTATATTTAGTTATATGTATGTCTTATTATCTGCAAATCAAGGTTAGAGTAAATGGTAAATATAATATCAGACATAAAAAGACTCCGTGGAATTGCCGTTTTCTAGTTGTATAAACCATTTGATAGATTAATGTTACAATACTCATACACAAACTCTATTTGTTATTTCCAGATCGTAGCTTCAAATTTAAGAGCCAGTTAACATCACACCAGAGATTCCACTCGGGAGGTGACGAAGAAAACTTACGCTGCAGCACATGTTACAAGATCTTCTCCTCTAAGTCAAGCCTCACTGCTCATGAACGTATCCACACTGATGGTCGTCCTTATCAATGTGGAATGTGCTATAAATCATTTCAGAGGAAGGACCATTTAGTGCGTCATGTTCAGGCTTGTCAAGGTGTCACTGACAATCAACTGGTTCTCTCAGCGGATGTTAGCCAAAATGGAGAAATTGTGTTGTCCACTGAAGGGAATCAGCAAACTGAGTTAATCCTCGCAGATGCTAATCACAGTGTGGGTGATACCTCTAACATGGTCAGTATTATTCAGCCTGAGTCATTAAGTGATACAAACAATATCCAAGTTGAATTAGTGAATCAGGAGGACATAAATGCAGAAGCTGTAGCACATATAACAGAGAATGTTGAATTGGCTGATGAAAATGTACAATTGGAAGAGACTATTGAAATTGACCCTGATATTCGGGGTGATGAGAGTGGTGTTGAGAATGAAGGAGATGGACAGGTGTTGTATGTAGACCCTAATAGTCAAGGTGTACTTGTTAAGGGAGTTGATGGATCTGAAAATCTGTTCTATGTTGTCTTAAATCAGTCAGAGTAGAGGGAATCTTTTGATTTATTGAACTAAATATTCCCAACAATACAAGTATGGTATAGCTCTATTCACTATTATATAATTTTCAATTGTTTTTATGTCACCACCAAAATTATGTGACATATTGTTATGGTCTCTGTTTTTTGACGGCGGTTGGTGGTTGGCGGTTGGCGTCTGTAACAAATTCTTACAACTTCCAATAACTTAACAAATACTGTTTAGACTGAATTCAATTTTTTCAAAATCATCTACATGTTTCCAGAAGTTCAAATCTGACTTTATATTTAAGATTTGAGCTTCAATGACATTCTCAAGGTCAAAAAAGATTTGACCTTCAAGGTCAAAAGGGTCTTTTTTCATCTTGCTTCAAATTGACCAATTTGTTTTTTCAAAATCATCTACAAGTTATTAGAAGTGTCAAATCTGACTTTAGATTTGAGATTTCACCTTCAATGACTTTCTCAGGGTCAAAAAATGTCTTTTCAATTGACCAGTTTTTTACTTTTTTCAAAATCATCTTCAAGTTCTCAGAAATTCAAATCTGACTTAAGATTGAACTCCTAATATTGTGAGCAACTAGGTGGTGACACTTTGTCATGTTAATGCCTTGTTTAATTGATTCCAATGGCCATTTATAGTAGCTCAACGAGATTTTAATATTTTTATTTTTTACATGAATATGATTCTGTGTAAACTGTTTATCATTGTTTATATTAAAGAAATATAGGATTACATGGTATTTCCTTACTTCTAACTGTTTTAAAATATGAGTACCTTAAATGTATTCCAAATATCAGAAGTCTGTGTCAACTTAAACCTGTTTCTGGGGTTAAGTGTTGTACACATATTATACTACCCTCAAATAAGTTCATAAACATCAGTATTTTCTTTTTAGCTCACATGGTGAGATATTTCAATCACTCACTTGTCTATCTGATTGTCTGTCTTCCCGTCTGTCTGTCAACAATAGTTACACGTTTTAAAACTTCTCTTAATGGGATTCCTTCAAAAGCTGCCTATTTTCAAAATAGCCCCAAAAAGTGGGCCTCTTTGGTCATTACTGGGCCTTTTAAGGCCTAATTTTTTAATTTCAGGCCAAATTTTGAAGAAAATTGGCCTCAAAATTTGGGCCGACTTTTGGGTTTTAGGGGCCCAAAACTTGTCTCCCTAAAACTACTAAGATTCAATGCCACGTCTAACCATCGGCAACGTACAGTGACAAAATATACCGTCGTACACTTTAAATGTACGGTGTCACTATTAAACCGATTTGAAGCAAAGACAATGATTTAGGTTTGATGTAGGTTTTAAAAAAATATCTGAGGAATACATTAAGGATTTCATGTTTGATTTTTCGTTTGGGAAGACATTTAACGTTCTTATAACGTTAAAAAAAGATTTTCGAACAGTGCTCGCTTTTTTTCGTGTAATCTACCCATATAATTGGTCGGTTGGAAAATGTTTTTACAGATTTCCTTTGATCATTTCCTCCCCTGTTGTCTAAGAGCTGTGTCGAATACACAATTAAGGTCTGTTGAAGATATAATAAGTATTAAAGTTTTGGCTATGATTTAAAAAATCATAAGTGTACGTTATCAACTCGAATGTACATTGTCCCATTGAACTCACTCAATTCTAAGTTAACCCTAATGCAGGCAACGTATTTTTCATAGCACTAACAGACAGGTGTCAGATACATTTAAACAGAGCAATTACAGAATTACTTCAATTTGATTGAACTATTAAAACTATTGATCACTTTCCATATATATCATAAACAGGATTTTAAAAAGTCATAATAGACTACGACCCACTCTGATAATTGTAACTCCTTCCTTACATGAAAGGTTACACATTCCAACCTATTTCAATCCATCTGTATGATGAAATTTTCTGGGTAGTTGGACTTTCTATAGGGGTGGCAGACAGCCCTCAGACCAATTTATACCCATACCCCCCAAAAACCATGGGGGTACTTTAATAACACCCAATAAAAAGAATACTAATGCATGTCAGATATTCATTGTTTTATATTGGGTAGGGCATGTTATGGTTAGTAAGTGCCAGAAATTTTCAATCTCTAACTGATATGGTTACCATAGAAACAGTATTTATATCTTGAAATATTCTCAATTTGACCTCCTCCCAAATGTGTCCCTTTGTTCTCAAAGTGAAATATTTGCAAATCTGTTTGGATTTTATGGCTGCTACTTTGTCCAAAATTGTATCAATATGTATATTTTAACATTTAAACACTGAAAAGTGTTCATAATGATCCTATAAATCAATAATATTTATCAAATATAGTCACACATAGCTGCTTTTAGGGAAAAGTGGGCGTGGCACTTTTTGGTACCTGTGTACTTGTTGCAGCATTAAATGAAAAATACATATTATACTAAGGCCGTAAGAAGTAGATTCTTTGTTTTGCGTCCCCTTGCTTGCACGATTTTGAGTAAATCCGAAAAAACAAACACATCCAAATAGCAATCACAAGGGTCTGAAAGTAACATCGCATTTTGTTCAATCAGAATCAGAAAAAATGGGGGATAAATTGATGTACGTCAAAATTGACAGTGTTATTGATTACTTTGGCATACATTGTGTATTTTCTTATTTTTACCCTTGAATAATTCCTATATTTAAATATTTTGTATAAAATGTATAGATTTGTGTTTGTATCACTGCAAATTGGTATGTCATCCCTTTTAATGCCCATAAAATGTATACATTTCTCAGCAAACAAGTTTGTGTTTTTTCTTGAGTTTGTGTTTGTTTTCCTTGCACCCTTGCATGATTTGGATTTTGCCAGGACGCAAAACAGAGAATCTAATTCTTATGGCCTAACAACAATTGACATTTAATTAGCATCTACTTATGTTGTGCAACATTGTAATATGTTCATTATCATCATTAGACACTTTAAATATTTTATATAAGTGTTATCCTGACCCTTCCCTTTATCCCTACACCCTTCAAGGTGGGCATTACCAATCGTGTCAAGTTAACATTTCTGTTTGATTTATTTTTACCATAGACAAGGTACAAAAGCTTTACCATGAGTACTGACCTTATTAGGTGCTAAACTGATGAATGGATAGGTAGATGGCAGCACTTGTGCTGGTTGGACTACACGCTAGCATCTACCATAGACACATATTGATTTACCATATTTGTTATTTTGGATTAAAGTAAAACTGCTTTCGCATCAAACTTAATGAGATTCAGATTGTGTTTGAAACTAGATGATCCTCAGATTTTGTGTGAACCTTAAATTCATGACAATCAAAAGAATTCAACATTTAGGAAGTCAACATTAAGATTTTTAACATCGTCTCAATGAGAATTTAGCCCGACCTTTTTCAGAAAGTTAAAGATCATAGAAAATTGAACATAATCAAAGTTCCTCAGTAGAACATTTAATCTCCTAAAATCACATTAAAACTATATCAGCAATATTTCCAAGCTAAATAGTATAAAAACTTCTATCACATCATTTGCAACGTTTTCATTATTCGATAGTTCAACCCTATATGAATTATTGATGATTTTAAAAGTGCAAGGAATCTAAATGAATCAGGGAAGCCAGTGATATGTATTTGCCTTATTAATTGTTGACTTATACAATGAAATAGACTTAGATGCAAGTAGAAATAATCTTGCTTTACATCATTAAAAATTCAAAATTCAGTCAAATAAGTGATATCATATTTGAAATCTTCATGTAGAATTACATTTCTTCATGCAATAAGTTAACCTTTTAGTGAGCAGTTGTGACTTATGTAATCATGTACTTATACAATTTGTCAGTAAAAGTTATTTATCCTATACTTAGTGTTATAGGTAAATGAAATGCATGAATATAATTGATACCTTAGGTGAGTGGGGATATACATGTACTGCATATCCCGCTTTATCCCATACTTGGTCGTGTTTCAGGTACATAAGGCAGGCTTGTAAAAACTTATATTTTCATCAGCGGGCAGATATAGCTTTACGTCCCGTTGCGAGCGGGCAGATGTAGTATATCTGCCCACTCCGTCATAATCGCCCTCGGGCAGATATATTATATTTGCCTCGGGTTAGTCCCAATATCCTGAACCTCATATAGGATAATCTCTATGTATCGCCAAGTTTATCACCCGCTCAGTAATCCCTTGCAGGAATTTCATTCTGTGCAATTTCTCATATTTTCGTATTTTAGTATATGATAAATAATTTTGGGTACAAGGTATAACCCTTGGGAAATACAATATTCTACCCTCAACCCCTTGGGGAGGTATATTGTATTTCCCTCACATATATTGTATTTCCCTGTATTAAAAACTTCCCATTAATTAAACCTCATATATAATGCACACCATTTTAAAGATGAATCAAAACTATGAATTAGTGATATCCATGTTTCTAACGAAAGCATGAATTTGAAAGAAACAAACATTCTACTCATATGGTATAAAGATATTACCAGTTGTGTCCATTTTAGATTTGATTGAAGAACTTGAATTAGAGGCAATTTTGAAATTACAATATATTAAAAGAGGCTCTGTTGCTTAGATGGGAGAATCAATTAGCTGCATTGTTCAGTTTATGACAAAATTGATGTTTAGTGTTACTTTCATGAACACCCATCCTGTAAAATAGCATTTGGAATCTAGTAGTTTGTATATAGATGAATTAGATAAGGCATTGTTGAGGAAAAATATCCAACAAGATTACTAGTTTGCTCATGAAATTAGGCATACTTTAACTTGAAACAATTTGTAACACTCAATTTTTGGGGTTTGGAGATCGAAGTAATAATGATGAAAAACAAGCAATTTTAGAATATTTATGTTTTACCAAAATTTTTAAAGATTTTTGTTAGCCTTTGTTTTGTCTGTTTTATTCTCAAATAAATCATGGTCATCAATTCTATTGTGACATAATCATCATTTACCAATTTTAAAATTAAATATTACTGGTTAGAGAATGTGATTTCTTACTTTAGGTTATATTTATATCCCGATTTATATGTATTATAATAATTGATGGAGACAAATAGAGATTATCCTCTATGAGATTCAGGGTATTAGAATTATCCCGAGGCCAATATAATATATCTGGCCGATGGTCATAGGTCCCGAGGGAAGATATTTTCTATTGACCAAAGG